GGCTGCCTATTTGCAGTAAGCCATCTTCCAGAGAGCTGCTCAGAGGTCTCACAGTGTGCCTGGGCCAACCATGCTTCCTGGGCAGGGACGCAGAACAAGTGTAGCTCAGCTGAGAAGGCAAAAGCTGCCTATCCGGCCACTGAGGAGCAGTAAGCGAGGTAGGACGTCCAGACTTGGAGCTGTGATGGGAAACATGGAGCTGCTCATTCCCTCCTCAGGATCTGCGTCAGCTGCTGTTAACACAAAGCCAAATCAGTGTCTCAGAGACGCTAACGTCAGCTAGTCTCAGAAGACAGAGGAGCGTCAATTCCTTGTGGTTATTGTCTTTCAGCATCTCCGAAGACGTCAGCCTGGGTGGCATAGCCCCCTCTGAAGCCACCAACAATGACATTCTTCTTGCTTGCCTGCCTGCTGGCTGCCTTTCCAGGTGTGTCTGCCAGGGCTCTACCCACTCGTGTCAGCCCCCTCCAGAGTCCAGTTCCCTAGCAACACCGGGACCAGACTTGTCCCCAAGGATGTCCCTCCCAAAATGTGGGCTCCCTGGAGGAGGAGTTACACAGAGACAATTCAGAAAGGCCATGTCTGAAGGGAAGAGTGGTGAGCATTGGTAGTCAGGGACAGGAATGGTGATTCCTAATCTCAAGGCCCCCTGGGAATAAAAACATAGCCTAGGCAATACCGTGAGATCCTGTCTCAAGAAAGAAAGAAAAGGGAAAGAAAGAAACAATGAAAAAATAGCCCATCAGCTAGCCATCTTGGTATACATTTGTAGTCCAAGCTACTTGAGAGGCTGAGGCAGGAGGATCACTTGACCAGGAGTTTGAGGTTGCTGTGAGCTATGATGATGTACAAAAATAAAATAAAAAGACCTTGACCTCCCACCAAGCATCTCTATGACTTGCTATGAAATTTGGGGGAAATTCCATCACTTATCCTTCCTTGCTCTTAATATTTTTATCCGGGAAAAAATCATCTACAAAGGGTTTTCAGAAATATAAGGAAAAACAAATCATAAATGCAAATGTAATACCCTGTAAAAGTAGCATTTTTTTTTAAGAAACAAGGGATATCATAAGTTTGTCATTCCGTTGTCCTTAAAATGTTTATCATTAATGAATGACAATTAGAATTTAATAGAGAATAAAGCAATTATTTTACCCAATCATAGCAATTTTCCAGTTGTAGTCTATAGGAAAAAAGACCATGTGCTAGGGCAAAACTCCCTTCTCCTCGGGGTGGGCCATCTAGGTCCTTTTGGTGGGCTCTCTCAAGGGCCTCAGAAAGCCTCTGCCTTTTGTCCCCACAGTGGTTTCCATGAAGAGTCCCATATTTGGCCCCCAGGAGGTGAGCAGTGTGGAAGGTAACTCAGTGGCCATCACGTGCTACTACCCACCCACCTCTGTCAACCGGCACACTCGGAAGTACTGGTGCCGGCAGGGAGCCAGCGGCCGCTGCACTACCCTCATCTCCTCTGAGGGCTACGTCTCCAACGACTACGCAGACAGAGCCAGCCTCACTAACTTCCCGGAGAATGGCACGTTTGTGGTGAATGTTGCTAACCTAACCCAGAATGACTCTGGGCGCTACAAGTGTGGCCTGGGCATCAGTAGCCGAGGCCTGTCCTTTGACGTCAGCCTGGAGGTCAGCCATGGTAAGGATCCAGGCTCCTTGGACTTCTGGGGGAAAGGTAGAAGGAATAATCTTGGGTACCTGGGAGGGCTTGAGGAAGAACTTCCTGACAGGGGAGGATGTCAGGAAGGGGTCAGAAGGTGGCTCCTCCCTCTCCAGGCAAAGATGTTTTAGAATTGTACATGGGACTGAGAGAGAAGAGGCCTACTTGGAGGGAGTGGGTGAGCCTTTACTGAAGCCCTCACTTAGGAGGGGATCAGGAGGACAACTTCTCGTGTGTTTGTGGCACATAGGAAGGGAGGTCTAGGAACCTAAGGAGACAGAAAAGGCAGGAAGAGATTTTTAAGGATACTGAAATTCCCAGAATTAGATCAAGGTTTGGAGCACCAGAAGGCATCTTTCAAAATGCACTTTTTTTTTCAGTCCATCAGCACTATCAGCATAAATTAGATTATCAGTTCTTAACCAAAGACCAGGATTTTAAAAGGATGGGTCAGGAAGAAGCCTGTTCTAACTGAAGAAAGAGCAAGAAGAGAAAGCTCTTTCTGACAAGGGTTTAGCAATGAGGGCATTTTAGATAGTCAAGGGCACTTTAAAAGAGAAAGGAGTCTTGAGGGAGGAAATTTGCAGGGACTCCCAAAGTTATGTTTTACTCCTTTGGAATATGTATGCTATTGCCTGTGGACTAAATGAAGAGGTCATTCAGGTGGTGACAGAGACTCATAAAGCCACAAAATCTTAAGAGTTCAAGAGAGCTTAGCCCTATCTGAACATCTAGAAGAACATTGCACACATGGGTAAGTAACCTGATTAAACACTAGATAGCAGGAATCCATTGCTTCACAAGGCAGCCCATTCCATGTATACACTTGTAATTTGTAGAACCCTCTATTGCAATGCATTGAGATCGCCCACCCTGTACCTACCTCCTCTCCATTCATTTCAACACGTGTTAATTTGGGTACCTACGACATGTAAGCATTGTGCTTGTCACAGTGAGGGAGTTCTCACAGAAGAAAAACATGTCTCTGCCCTCAAGGAAAACAGTCCAGTCCATGGAAAACATAATTAATTATATGCTAGATTAGGAGTGCCATGTAATAAGGGATGCAGACATCAGTATCGAGAGAACACATAGAAGGGAGAGTTTAGCACCAACGGGGGGACATTTCTGTGGAGGAGACAGCAGTCAGGCTGGGCCTTGGTAGACATATTCTGACAGGGCCCTCCTGGGGAAGAGGGCATCCCAGGTGTCGGTCCACCCAGGCCCTCCCTGAGAACAGCAGATTGCTCTATGATGCAAGAGAATGCAATCACAGCTTTCCCCCCGTTCCTCATCCTACAGGTCCTAACCCCCTAAGTAACACTCAAGTCTACACAGTAGACATGGGCAGAACAGTGACCATCAACTGCCCTTTCAAGCGGGAGAATGCTCAGAAGATAAAGTCCTTGTGCAAGAAGACAGGCTCATCCTGTCTACTACTCATTGACTCCAATAAGTACACGCACCCCAATTACCTTGGCAGAATCAGCCTTATTATTCAGGGTACCAGCCAATCCACGTTCAGCGTCATCCTCAAAGAAGTCAGACTCAGAGATGCTGGGATGTACATCTGCCAGACTGGGAATGATCCCAGTGGGGATAAGAAGAATGTCGATCTCCAAGTGCTAAAGCCAGAACCTGAGCTGGTTTATGGAGACCTGAGAGGCTCTGTGTCCTTTGACTGTGCCCCGGGCCCTGAGGTGAAAGATGTGGCCAAATTTTTGTGCCGGGTGACGAAGGAGGAAAAGTGTGCTATGGTCATCAACACCCTGGGCGAGAGAGATTCAGCCTTTGAGGGCAGGATCCTACTCACCCAGAAGGGTAAGAACGGTGAGTTCAGTGTGCTGATCACAGGCCTGAGGAAGGAAGATGCGGGCCACTACCTGTGCGGAGCCCACTCCGACGGACTGATGCAAGAAGGCAACCCCGCCCAGGCTTGGCAACTCTTCGTTAATGAGGGTGAGAGAGAGGGAGGGGCAGCCAAACAGGGGAGAGGGGTGAGCTCCTGGGGTCTGTGGTTAACATTCATCTGTCAGTCAACAATACCCACTTACTGTCCAGCCCTGAGCTGGATGCCACCCTGGCCACAGGAGAGGAGAGTGGGGAGGGGAGCATGAGAAAAAGCAGCCTCTGCCTCTAGGTAACAGCCTTTGATGGCTTTCCCTGCTTGGTAAGAATGAGGAGAGTAAAGGTCCTGCTTGAGGCAAGACTTGTAGATTGTGGGGGTTTCAGTGCCCTGACAAGCCCTGTGGGGGCCCTTTATCCTCTCCCAAGGCCCTGAGCAAGACAGGTGCCTCATCCCTTAATTCAGATAGGGAAAGAGGCCAGCCACAGTGGCTTTTGCCTGTTTTCCTAGCACTCCAGGAAGCTGAGGTGGGTAGATGGCTTGAGCTCGGGAGATCCAGACCAGCCTGAGTAAGAGTGAGACCCTATCTCTATTAAAAATAGAAAAACTAGCCGGGCATGGTGGTGCAGGCCTTTAGTCCCAGCTACTTGAGAGGTTGAGGCTAGAGGATCACTTGAGCCCAAGAGTTTGAGGTTGCTGTGAACTATGACACCATGGCATTCTACCCAGGGTGACAGAATAAGATTGTCTCAAAAAAAAAAAAAAGCAGATGGAAAAGGATTGATTAGAGAAACCAATGTGGGTCTAAAGCTTTCCCAGGGAAAAAAGTATGCAGCCTTAGAATTTTTCACTCCCACCTGTCTTAGGTTAATTGTTATTCCACACAATCTGGCTCACTCAGCTCCACCCTGCTGAGCCGTCAGGTCAATACAGTGGAATGTGTTAGATAGGTTCTGCTCCTTCTCTGCAGAGCTCTGCGTAGAGCTGCCCTCAGGAGAAGCAGCAAACCAGGACTTGCAGTGCAAAGTATCTGCCCTATGACTTTCCTGTAAGGGGCTCGTGTTCCCTGAACATCATTTCTACAGCCAACTCTGGGTCCTCTCCACATTCAAGTGCATCTCTGGCAGCCCAGGGTTCTCTCTGGACCTCAGCTTTAGCTGCTTGGAGAACAGCTGTCCTTCCTTTGAGGTTGCCCTCAGGGTCCTTAAGACTTACAGAGTTTGTATTTTAAATCACATCCTTCTAAATATATTTCCTTAATTTAGAAACGATCCATCTGGCTATTTTTGTGGGATGAGCTAAAAAATAGAAACTGAGGTGGAGGGTGATTTTATAAAAGGCTAACAGAGAAGAGCTGATAGTCTCCTCTTAAATTTCCATTTTCTGCTCAGAATGAATAGAAGGAAAGGAATGAGGTATCCAGACATACCAATAGTGAATGTCCCTGAAATCCCTGAAGGTCCTGGCAGCTCCAGCGACAGGCGCTGTGACATTAGGAAAGTCCCGAGGAGGTTGATGTGATTCATCTAAACCTCACTCGCACCCCGGCTGAGGCAGGGGGAAACGGCTGCTCAGACTATACAAGGCCGTTCCCGTGTCACTGTCCTGCCATCCCATCTCTGTCTGTGTTCCAGAGACCAGGATGCCCCACAGCCCTTCTGTGGTGAAGGGTGTAGCCGGAAGCTCAGTGTCCGTGCTCTGCCCCTACAACCCAACAGAGGACAGCACGTCCAAGTACTGGTGCCGCTGGAAGGGGGAGGGCAGCGGCCGCTGCCCCCTGCTGGTGGAGAGCCAGGGGCTGGTGCAGGAGCAGTATGAGGGCAGGCTGGCGCTGCTGGATGAGCCGGGCAATGGCACTTACACCGTCATACTCAACCAGCTCACCCCTCAGGATGCCGGCTTCTACTGGTGTCTGACCAATGGTGACACTCGCTGGAGGACCACAGTGGAGCTCAAGGTTATTGAAGGTAAGTGTTGGCCTTGGGCAAAAGGGAAAGAAGGAAGCCCCAAGACCTCTCCACTCAGCAGGGCACCCCAGCCCACCTTCCTCCTCCTTCACCTACATCCACGCTAATGGGACAGACCTCAGAAAGGAGCCTACCTATCCAGAGGTCACTTTGTCATACCAGTAACCAGCAGCCCACAGTCTTTGAATTAGCACCTCCTACTATCTAACACATTGGCCTCTTTCGCAGTCTGTAGGCATCAGATGAAGTTGGGCACTGAAGGGAGCTCTTTGCATCAAGTCTAGAAGAGAAGGAAGAGGAATGAAAGCAAACCAAAGTCAATGCGCAAGGCTATAGTTTCTATGTTAGGCTCTGGATTGATCGTGGAGAGTATCAGCAATAATTATTACTTAAGGGCATAACTACATTTCTTAGATATTCGGCATAATGTACTTGTTTACGATACTATCCAAACAGGACATGTGGACAAAGGTCCCCGCTACAATCACTTACCTGCAGCTTCTCCAGGTACCCATTTCTGTGCCTATTTCTCCCTCCCTCCCTGCTTTAGGAAAACCGAACCTCAAGGTGCCAGAGACTGTCACTGCTGTGCTGGGAAAGCCCCTCAAGCTGCCCTGCCACTTCCCATGCAAATTCTACTCCCATGAGAAATACTGGTGCAAGTGGAGCAACAAGGGCTGCCAGGTCCTGCCCAGCCAAGACGAAGGACCCAGTGACGCCTTTGTGAACTGTGACCAGAACAGCCAGATCGTTTCCCTGAACCTGAACTCAGTCACCAAGAAGGATGAGGGCTGGTACTGGTGTGGGGTGAAGCAGGGCCACAGCTATGGAGAGACTGCCGCTGTGTATGTGGCAGTCGAGGAGAAAGTACAGGGTAAGTCTCTTGTCCCTCTGGACCTTAGAGGCAAGACTCCTCAAAGGGCCCTGCCCAAGAGCTTCTCAGCCAGCCAGGGCTGGCCCTAGGTTCAGCTATAAGAGGCTGAAAGTAGGAAGAAGGGAGGGAAATTTAGGCCCTACAAAGTCTCATTGAGCATTCCAAAAAGAGCATCCCAAATAAACATACAAACTAAGTAAAAATAGTTTGCTATTTAACCTCAGCATTAAGACAAGGCCCAAGTTCAATGTCAACCATATTGAAGTCCCCTCTCTATCTATTAATAGCAATATCCTTCTATTTATAGAACTTTGAGAGTCACTATTACATGCAACATACTCATCCTCCCTCCCTCTGCCAAAGCCTGTTGTCAGAAGAGAGCCAGCCCCCTTCATTTACAGGGTCTGATCAAGAAAATTAAGACAACCTCATCTAATAAGTTTGCACTTTGAGCCTTTTTTAAAATGTCATGTGAAATGCTTTGTCCCTAATGAGGGTATTTTTACTCCCTCTGGAAATCCTATTGAGCCGGAGATCTCTCTGGTCTGGCTCACTGGAGGGAGGGGAGTTGCATAGCTCAGGCTACCACCAGGGGACAGCACTGTCACACCCAGCACTGAAGTCCGGATGCCTGGGGTGGGGTTTCCAAGCTGTAAAAATCTCCCTAGCAGCACTGATGGGTCAGCCTATCTGCACAGCTGGATGTGCTTTCATGGAGCCTGGAAGATGGAAATGAATTTGGTAGTAATGAGGCAGAGATCACCTGTGACACGCTAGAGAAGGCCTGCACTGCTTTGTTTCTGTCATCCTGCATTCCACCCCGACAACCTTGAAATGTAATCCTGACCCTGTGATTTCTAATGAAATCTCACTCCTTAGACTCCTTTACCTCAAGGAGTAAGAATGTAGGGAAAGAACCCTAACTCAGCCCCCACTCTGTTCTGCTCTAGGGTCCTCCGATGTCAGCCGGGCAAACACAAATGCTGCTCCTGGTGAGCTGGGAGAGCCCAGGGCCAGGGAGGTTGAGAACAAAGCTGTCCAGGATCCCAGGCTGTTTGCAGAGGAAAAGGCGGTGAAGGAAGCAGGAGTCGCGGCCGGTGGGAGTGGAGCACCAGCAGATGCCAGCAGGTGAACACAAATTCAAGGTTTCCTCTTCAGAGAACACCCCAGAGGCTCGGGACCCAAGGCTGGGCCAGCAGGCCCAAGGAGGAGGGTCTGTCTGCCTCATGGACAGTGCGGGGCAGCCCTAAGTGCCTCTGCTTGTGCAGGGGAGATTCCCGTGGTACCCTCTGCCCTTCTCCATGGCTGGGGTGGCGTTTACAATTCGGTTCAATCTCCCAGGCCTGCAATGCAGAGAAGACCCAGTCTTTGCCTTTGCTACTTCTGGGCAGGCTCATTAGAAGGACAGAGCTAGGGAACTGTATCAGGAGAACAAAGTGGATAAACCTGGGAGGAAAATCTGGCCAAGCCAACCTGCCAGCACATTCTGGGACCCACAGGTGTCCTGTCCAGTGATTAACTAACTTACTCCTTCTAGTTCTAAGGGGCAAAGCGGGACTTCCAAAGTGGTGCTCTACACCCTGGTGCCCTTGGGCCTGGTGCTGGCGCTGGGAGCTGTAGCCGTGGGGGTAGCCAGAGCCCGGCACAGGAAGAACGTGGGTAAGTCCCTGGGATGCTCCCGGCCTCCCACCTCCAACTCCCACCTCGGCCCTGGCTCAGGTGCCCTTAGAGGCTACGATTGTCTCTTTTCTCATAGACCCAAACAAAGGGCAGGGAATGATAGACCTACACATACCCAGAACTCAAATTAAGTGCTGTCATCCAAATACTGTCTCTGGAAAGCCATTTCTGATTGCTCAGGCTGTAAGTTCAGAGGCAGAACTCCTAGGACCAGATCAGGATTCAGAAGACCTGCTCTTCAGCCTAGTTTGATCAGTCATTGGCTATATGGCTTTGAGGTATCCCTGTTACGTGCCTCACTTTCCTCATGGCTCAAGACAGGAATGATAATAACCACCTCACAGAGCTGTGCATGGAAAGGTCACACAGCAATAAACTAAGGTCAGGGATTATCGTGTCTTGATTACCCATGAAGGAGACAGACCATTTTCCTCTGCCTGGGTCACAGACAGAAGTGAGCTCCCAGGGGCCCACACCCCGTAGCCATCCTGAGGAGCTGCAGGGAGCCACCCAGAGAGGGGCAGCACCACCTGACCTCCTAAGCCTGAGGTTCTATCCCTACATCAACTCCTCTTTCTCCCCAACAGACCGGGTTTCAGTTGCAAGCTACAGGACAGACATAGGCATGTCAGACTTTGAGAATTCCAGGGAATTTGGAGCCAATGACAACATGGGAGCCTCCCCAGTCACTCAGGAGACATCTCTTGAAGGAAAAGATGGTATGTCCCTCACTCAAGGGAATGCTTACCCCCTGGGAAAGCAGCAACTGAACCTTGCCCTATATCCAGGGTGGGAATAGGAGGCTACTGAGGGCTAACCCACCCCTTCTCTTTACACAGAGTTCAACACCACCACGGAGAGCACCACAGAGACCAAAGAACCTAAGAAGGCAAAAAGGGTAAGAAAAGGAGGCCACACTATGTGGAAAGAAAATGCAGCATGAAGGACTGCAGTCAGACATCAGGAAGAACTGCCTCCACGTGGGGGTTGATCTTAGGATAGGAAAGATACGGGAGGATTTTTTGAAGGAGAGATAGATCTTCATGATTGTGGAGTGTTGATGTGGGTAGGGCTGAGAGAAAGGAGTTACATTTATAGGATATGAACGTGCAGGAGGGAGAGAGATTGGGAAATGAGGAAGGGAGGTGCACAAAAGTCAGAATGGGAGGATCAAATGTGCTGGTGACGAAGTGGATGTCCTTTCTGAGCTGGGAGACCCGTGGACCCCAAGCCACCCATCCTCTCTTCAGAATTTGCTCAGGACCAGCCTTTTGCCTGAGCCTAGAAGACGTTTGCTCACAGTAGGGAATTTGATAGTCATGAGAAGCCCCTACCCACCTCAACCAAGTGCCACATTGAAAGGCAACTCTTGCAACTCTTACAAAGGCAACTCTTGCCTTTGAGCTGTGCATTACCCTATCAGGCCTCGAAAAGGATCAGGGGTTAGAGAAGGAAAACACCTCGTGTCTCTAATCCTGAGGCATTGATGTTTTGTATCATATCTACTTTCCCTTGGAACAGCACAGATCCAGGCATTTAGCACAATTAGGAGAATGAACCAGTCCTGGAGAGCCTTTCAGTCCTTGCAGTGCTGAAAAGTACCTCTCTGGGCTGGTAGAAAAAAAGCAACATAGATCACCCCAGCTGACACTGGCCTAGGCCAGGCCACCTTGCCCATGGACTGTGTGGGCACAGCTTCCGGGGACAGGCCCAGGCAACGGAGATGGTTCCACTCCACCTGTTGGAAGGAGGTAGTGAGACAGAAGGGGATATTTTTAGAGGCTGCAACTTTCCATTTCTCATGGTGAGCATGGGGGCTGGGCTGAGAAGAGCGGGCCACACAGGCTTGTGTTGCTTGGGCCAAGGTCTTGAATTCATAATATTGAGTGCATCCCTCCCTCCCGCTGACTCCGCTCACCAAGCCAATGCCCCCAACACTGACTCCTCTTCTATTGCCTCCTAGTCATCCAAGGAAGAAGCTGAGATGGCCTACACAGCCTTCCTGCTGCAGGCCAGCAATGTGGCTGCTGAGGCCCAGGACGGGCCCAAGGAAGCCTAAGCTGAGCCGCTGACTCTCCCTCCACCTGTGACAATCACTTTCAGAATCAGGATGATCCTTGGGGCCCTTACCCCAGGGGCCTCCACTGCCTGCACTTATACCCTCCCCTAAACTTTTCCTACTTGGCCTCATAGGTGTGCTAGTCCCTTCTTAGTGGCATCAAAGCCTGGCCTAATTATTCCTGTTTGGGGGAGGCGACATCAGGAGTTTCCACTTACAGTTTATTTCTAGTGCAAGAACCAAAGGCGCAGAGAATTAAAGTCCTCAAGGGAGGCCTTTTGGAAGGAAGAGGTTTCCCACAGAGGAGCTGGTGTCAGAAAGGAGAGACATTTAGAGCCTGTCTGCACCCTTATTATGGGATGTCAATGGGATGTTCCCCTCCACTCCATCTCTCCCTCCCTTCCTTCCACTCTTCTTCTTTCTTTCATTCAAAAGAGCTGTTTGAATACTTATTAGAACCCAGGTGCCCTGCTAGCTGCTGAGATGGATACACCCAGCTCTCAGCATTTCTGTAAATGTCACTGAAAGAAGACATGGCTCCTCTCTGGGTATATGTATTTGCGCTCACTGAGGCCTGAAATCCTCAATATGTTTGCTCACTTCTGCCCTTATTACTCTCAACAAGGAGCAACCTAGAGTCCTAGGACATTAGGGGTCGGGCATGATGGGCACGTATACAAGTAGTTATAAACACACATTCTTACCATTTCACAGGCAAGAAAATTGAGGTCCTAGGAGGCAAAACATTTTTCTCAAGGGCACCCAGTAAGATAAGCTAGTTATAGCATCTCCTATCCTCTTGACCAGAGTCTTTCTACGAGAACCCATGCTCCCTTGGTGGCAGAATCTTGAAAGAAGAAGGAGGAGGGAGAAGAGGAAATGAAAACAGAGACTGATCTTTCCTAGGCCTCCACTTCAAGGAAGATAACCCGCCCCTTCCTGTTATTACCTAAGATTAAAGAATAGCCAAACCTTCATAACCTCTCATACTTGAGTTCCCTGCAGATGGGAAGGAAAGAAGGTGTGGGATGGTGCCAAGTAGGGGCTGCTCTTCAAAGAGCTGAAGTTCAAAGTCTTTTTTCCCTCTGAGTTCTGTCTTTCAACCAGCACCCACAAGCTGACACTTGCTAACAAATCAGAAATGTGACTTAATGAATAATTAAAGACCATGATTGACATCAAGGAGGCTCAGACTGCATTTGTCTTCCATATCTTTGTCTCCTGGACAGCCCTTTTAGAGCAGTCTGATCAGTCCCATGTTTAGGAACCCTAGGACATGTCTGTAAACCAACAGCTTCCCTCACCTCCAAGGCTGGGCCAACCTAGGCAAATGCCTACAGATGGGGCCAGGGTTACCTTCAATAAGAGAAGAGTTTCATGTCCACTCCAGTGCTCAAGACCCCAAAGTTCTATGTTCCAGAACGTAACTAAGATTACTTATAGTAGAATTCTATAAATAGTAGTTACAGTTTCTTTCTGAAGAAAGTGCTCCTCTTGAGCATTTCAAAACCACTAATAATCTTGGGAAACTATCCATGGAATACTTAACCTTGATCTCATACTTTTCTGTGGCACCTTCCAAGATCAAGAGGCTGCTAATTAAAACTGAGGTAACCAAATGAATAAACTCTTTCTATAAGATTACTCACTGGAAGCTAGTTAACTAGTTAAATATCTTAGTTTTTAGACTAGCTGAATCCAAAGTTTTGGTGGACAGGAATTAGGCAAAGGGTCGCTTATCTATTAAGATTGTTCCTAAGTTCTGGCACTAAACTATGTCATTATCCTATAATGAATGTCCAAATTGTCCACTGGCTTGCCCCCCATCTCATCTCTAGACTGAGGGCTATGTGTGGAGAGCCCTCTCCAGAGGGTCTCCCCAGCCTGCTGCCTGCCTGATGTGAACCTCTCTGTCTACATGGGACTTGAGGACCATGCCTCAGTTGCTGTGTGCTCCCCAAGCCTGCCCTTACCCAGGACTCAGACCTCAGTTGCCCTTTGGTCTCCTCTTAAGCCCCAGCAACTGCAGTACCCAGCCCAAATTCCCAGGCCCCGACATGGCCCCAGTCAGGAGCAACAGTCATCAGGAATGTTTATTTCACTCTGTGTTGGGGGTACCTATCTAGCTTCCCTTGGAATGGCAGCAAATCATTCCAGGAGAAGCAAAATTATAAGGCATGTCAGAACCTACCACTGTTTTACTCCCCAGGAAGCTGCTCTCTGAGCTACCAAAGAGCCATGTCTGTGATAGAGGATTAAAGGGCCACATCTGAATGAATGCCAATAGCCAGCAGCCAACCCCAAGCTCCTGTAGTCTATCAGCCCCTAGAGTCAAAAGCCAAAAATTGTCAGTAAGGGCATAGGCCATTTTATATTACTCCTAACTGATATAAAGCAAGTAAATAATATACTGCCCAAGGCCCACAGGCTCCTTATGCAGTAAGAAACCCTTCTAAAGAAGAAAGCTGGTCCACAGGTTCCAGGTAGACATGGACTTTAGGGAGACACTATTCAGCCAACACAGGCGATCAACAAGCAACTGCAGGATTGATGATGATACATAACAATGACCAATGGCCAGCAAGCATTCGGGGAACTACTTAAAGATTTAATGAAAAGGAAATCTTGGGTGGCACCTGTGGCTCAAAGGAGTAGGGAGCCGGCCCCATATGCCGGAGGTGGCAGGCTCAAACCCAGCCCTGGCCAAAAACTGCAAAAAAAAAAAAATAGAAATCTTCCCCAAGTTCTTAAATTATCCTAATTTTTTTTCTTGTTAAAAGCCCATCATGTAATGATGTGAGTATAGACAAATAAGGCCCCAAAGTGGTTAGGAATATGTTTATAAAAATTGATTTTCTTTTATAAAGCTTAAGAAAGAATCTCTAATTTGTTCAAGACTTTTTTAAAGACCCATGAAAAAATATCTCCCTTAATAATATTCAACAACGGAAGAACTGACCATGCTTTGGTCTATGAAGCTGGTCCCCAAGTCAAAGAAGCAAGTTGGATTTTCCACACTACCTGCACTTCCCTGAAACAATTAACTCTACTGGGGAGTGTGTGCAATAAAAATATAAGACATCATCTCAGAAAGATTACACATCTAAGTGAACAGTGGGCACTTGGAGAGAGGGAGTGTGGCTCTCAGCTGGCCTGGGAGCTCCAGCAGACACGAGGGTTACCCGGCCATAAGAGCCAAGGAGTTCCAGAGCTTCTCTTCCAGGGCTAATTTTTCTAAAAAATGAGTGGCCAATCCTTTCTCTCTAGAGACAAAAAATCTTTGTCCTAGATATAGAGATATGAATATCCTAAAATCCAGGGTTATGCTAATATGTTACATTAAAATCCATCCAAAATTCCCACATATTTTGAGTTTTAACCTTAGAACATCAACAGGAATATGGCCATATTCAGGAAAGAAATCTTAGTCACTAAAATGCTGTCATTTCTTAGAGAAGAAAATTATGACATGGACTTATTGTAAAGGTTAACGCTTCTAAAGCCCTGCTCCCCTGGAGTGGCTCACTCTGGGGCAGGCGAGCGGGCAGTGCAAGCCTCCCTCGGGAGGAAGGAACAGCAAGATGCCTGAACCAGGTGCCTCTACCTGGTGGGCAGGTGGGGAGTTCCTTCAGAATCACTAGGGAAGGGACTCCTCATGTCTGTCACTGTAGGGAGCACCACTCTGTCATAGAGAGAACAATCTGAGGATGCGGGGCCTCAGTTTGGAAAGGCCTAGGAGATGGTCCTTCAGACTTGACCATGTGGAGGTCAACATAGAGAAATGCAATAACCAAATAGAACCTGCAGCGACAACCACCATCCCAGTGACGACGGCTAATCTCTGACTGTATTCCAGACTGTGCACTAAGTCCCGCATGATGCTTACCCTCACCCCACCCTATGAGACACACTCTTCTTAGCCCAGCTGTAACATGGAAAGGAGAATAGAGCCCAAGTTAAGAGATCATTGTAGAGAGTGAATGAATACACCTAAGCAGCAGTTCTCAATCTGTGGGTGGCAACCCTTTTGTAACAATGAAAATACATCCTGCATATCAGATATTTACATTATGATTCATAACAGTAGCAAAATTACAGTTATGAAGTAGCAACAAAAATAATTTTATGGTTGGGGGTCACCACAACAGGAGGAACTATATTAAAGGGTCACAGCATTAGGAGGCATCAGGAAGGTTGAGAACCACTGGTCTAAAGGACTAGAACACTTCCTGATGTATCTGGAATTATAGTAAGACCTTTGTAAGTTGACAACCAAGGGATGTAACAAACTGCTTAACATACAGAGGTGGCCAACCTAAGAAACTAGGCCTACTGTACTGATACGCACATGTGGTGCACCCCTGGTCTATGAAAATTAAGTCAACTTAAGGAGGCAGTCAGTGTAGGGAGGTGGTCAACTGTGGAGGTTCTGCTGTATTTATTCCCTCCATCTGCATGTCATTGGGCTGTAAATTTTTTCATTGGGTTCTGGCCCCCAGAAGTTATTAGGCCATTGAGTCTCCTACCCCTTGGTGTGCTACTGACTATCAGACATCATCCTGGAAGTAGGACAACCAGGGACTAAGGTTGCCCTGTGGGTCTGAAAGGAGAAATCAGGTTTAGATGGGGGGAATAAAAGAGCAAAGAGAAGCAGTCCCTGTAGCTCAGTGGGTAGGGCACCAGCCACATACACTGAGGCTGGCAGGTTTGAACCTGGCCCGGGCCAGCAAAAGCAACAACGACAACTGCAACAAAGAAATAGCCAGGCATTGTGGCAGACTCCTATAGTCCCAGCTACTTGAGAGGCTGAGGCAAGAGAATCAATTAAGCCCAAGAGTTTGATGTTGCTGTGAGCTGTGATGCCACGGCACTCTACTGAGGGCAACATAGTGACTCTCGGTCTCAAAAACAAAGAGCAAAGAAAATAAGGATGGTAAATTTCACAATTTTGCCAGGGGTCAGTCTTCCCTTGAGCCCCAACCCCTGTGACACGGGGGTGACATTGGAAGCTAGACACTGGACAGGCTCAGGTCTGGAAGTTTTGATCCCCTCAAATTTCAGACATTCACCTCCTCCCTGCAGTCCTCAGACCTCTAACTCTGGCTCTTAACAACCCAACCAAATGTTTGGGCTGCGCAGGAAACCTACCCACTGTCATCCTGCACACCTTCCATGGTACCTGGCAGGTTCCAGCCTCAGCACACCGAACCCTGATCTCTAAAGACACACACTCATATGCACGCTACCCCACATCACACACCACACGCTCACACATACACTCACACATGTGTCACATTCACTCCTTCATAGTCTCTCTCTCTTTCTCCACAGCCCCTCTGAGAATAAAGTGGCAAGCCAAAGAAATATCAGGCCTGGAAGGTGCTATTTGTCTTGAGGAACTTCCTAAAGACCCTTTGAACCCTTGAGGTCCAGCCCTCAAGCCTAGTGAACGTCAGAGCCCAGCTGTGCAACAGCTGTAGGGCAGTGGGAAGAGCCCTATATGGAGGGAAGAGTGAAGCTAATCCCAGCTGACACCTCTGGCGGTCAGTCACTCTAACCACAGAGGCCTGAGCCTGCGCTTTGATTATCCGGTTCACTTGTAGCTAGAAGATATCACACCCATAGCTGATCTGGGCCACAGGAGACCCAGATGGGGGTGGGACAGGGTGGGCTGCCTGCTGCCTGCCCCCACACACTTCCTCTGCACCTGCTCAGAGCCACACATCTGACTTCCACTCCGGATGTTGTTGTTTTGTGTTTTCGAGAGCATGTGATAAATCTGGTGTGCGGGGGCGAGTGGGGAGTGGTGAATGCACCACTGAGAAGCCTGGAGACTCCATCAGCCACAGCCTCCCAGAAACGATGTGAGAGCAGCCTGCCACCTCCCTGGACACCAGAGGCTGCAGCATCTGGGGCTGGAGCCCTGGGAACCAAGGACCAGGAAGGAAACATCCTCCACTAAGTCACAGCCCTGGGTACCTCCATGATAAAGGATCTTAAAGCACTTCCACGTCTGTGGTTTGGGCTGGACCTCACAGAAGCCATGCAAGGTCAGCAGGGCAGGGGCCATCCCTATTTCACTGATAAAAAACAGAGGCCCAGAGAATCTTGCCCAAAGCAAGACAGTGCCAAGCCAGGACAAGAATTCAGGTCTCCTGATTTGGATCCAAGCTCTTTCTGTGACACTGTGTAGCCTCAACATCTCTCTCTTCACCTGTCAGTGAGCTTCACCCTTGGACCCTCAGAGTCCCAAGGGATGGCACCGTCTGGATGCTGCGACTTAAGGCAGAGATCTGTGTGACCTGTCATAGTCTACCCCTGGCACTGCCTCTGCAGTCATAAGACAGAGGCCTGGGCCCCTGCCAGAGGGCAGCACCCCATAGGAACATCTGGGGAGATGAGGGATGCGGAGCAATACTCTGTAGGGGAATGCTAATGACCACCTACTCCCACCTTCATTTATTTTCAAGATGAAGAAATCAAGGCACAGAGAAAAAAGTAGTAAATTGCTCAACATACAGTCTCTCCACAGAGTAGGTATTTAGAACATTTTGTAAAGGTGAGTGCTCTGGTGACTGGGAAGGACTACCACCAGAAGCTTCTGATTTCAGGGCTGAGCGTCTGACTGTAGGGCCTTTGTCAGATGGGAAAGACCAGTGGCAAAATGTTTTCCTCCTGAGGACAGGGAGGAAGCAAGCGACTCTGGCTTAGGAAGGAGTCGATTCATATACATACAGCATGGGGGGCCCCTCTGAGAAAAAAAGTGGCAAGCCAAAGCAACATCAGGCCTGGAAGGTGCGATTGGTCTTGAGGAACTTCCTAAAGACCCTTTGACCCGGTGACATTCTCACTCAACACAACATGTTTTTGCAACTTGTGACTTCCGCTGTGGTTTGCCTGTATTCTGTTTTAGCTTTAAGAGTCGTTGGCAAACAAGACAGGTTGTCATTTCCTCATTTTCAAGCTTCATCCCTCGTGGAGGCTGGCAAGCTCATTCAAGCTCCAGACTGTGAAGCATTCCTGGGTGAGCAGTGGGTCACTGTCCCCGTCTCCAGGCACGGGTGGATGGGACCTTGCTCTGGAAGGAGCCAGGGCCTCTGGCTTTGGTCACTTTACTTCCTGCCAGGTAAGTACTATGGGGAAACACTTAAGACTGCTAATGAAGTTCTATTGGCCATAGGAAGGGTATCTCCAGCTGTGAGGTTTCCGGATGGACTCAGTTGCATACCAACACCTAAGGCAAGACTAGAATGAGGCCCCCAAAGGCACTGGAGCCTACCTATCCCTGCTAATGCCCCTCTGTCCACTCTCCTGTTAAAGAAGGATGTTGACTCTTAATGGTGGGAAGTGTCATCACTCCCAGACACATTAGCCTATTAATATGGGATCTTGAAGCAGGGGCTGCCATAGTTCTTTCTTCTTACTGCTATATTCTTTCTTTAGATCTTTTTTAATTCTGAATTTCCAACTTTCTTTCGTTTTTTTGTTTGTTTGTTCTGTTTTGTTTTTGAGACAGAGCCTCAAGCTATCCCCCTGGGTAGAGTAGTGCCATGGCATCACAGCTCACAGCGACCTCCAACTCCTGGGCTCAAGCAATTCTCCTGCCTCTGCCTCCCAAGTAGCTGGGACCACAGGCACCGGCCACAATGCCCAGCTATTTTTTGGTTAGAGCCGTCATTGTTATTTGGCGGCCCGGGCTGGATTTGAATCCGCCACCTTAGGTGTATGTGGCTGGCGCCTTAGCCACTTGAGCCACAGGCGCCAAGCCTAAATTTCCAACTTTCAGCTCTAAATGTAGACTCCATTCAGTAGCCCTAAACCGTTTCCTGAATTCCTTATCTTGATTAACAAATGTCTCCTGGGCACCCACTTCAATATACCACCAAAGTCTGAAATAAAACCAACCTACCACCCTACCTTAAACTCCTCATTGGTCACCATCCAAACAGCTTTTCCATCTGTCTGAAGTATCTCTGAAACCAGCCACAAAATACCAGAATGATTTTTTAGCATCTCTTCCTATTTATTTTCACCCAAACCTTGATCAAAGCAATGGTCAATTCATGTAGTTGCTAAATCCACATTTACTGAGATAAGAAATAGTCTCAGTCTCTACTAGCGAGGTAACAGAGGAGATGAAAAGGAAAAGAACACAGAATTATCTCTTAACTAGCTTTCCCCCTTCCTCTAACTCAGCCTGCATGCAGCTCCAAATTAATCTTCCTCAAGCTTAATTCTAATCACAGGACTGCCCTTCCCACCCCTCTCTACACTCCCCTTTACACTCCAAGCCTACCACACTCCCTGGAATTTTCCTAACCTCTAGCCAAACAGGACTTCTCTGTGAACACAGGCCACACACTCCTGCCACCATGCCCTCGATCACCACCCTATGCCTCTGCCATCAACATCGTTTCTCCCACCTTCACCTCTTATAGGTTCTTCAAAGTACATTCTAAACTTCATCTCCTTCTTGTAGACTTTCCTGAGCGCTGTCTCTGAGCCCCAATAGCAGATCACATTCTACCTCATAGGGTGGCTCTAGATCTGTCCATCTTAATTTGGTTCCTTCAGTGAGAGTCAGAATGGTTTCTCATTCATATTTGCTTTTTATGTGATGTCTCGAGTATGAAACAAACTCAAATATTTGTTCAGTCAAAGATTTTAAAGTCCTTAAAGCAAAAAGGAACGGAGTTTTATTGAAATGTCAGACACTGGGATAGTCAGTAGAATATATGAGTGACCATATGGTTACTCATATGGTTAACCACACTGAGGCCTGAGGAGGGGTTGGTGAGACCTGGAAGACCTAAGGAGTGAAAGTTCCTGAATTGCACCACCTCAGTCTGTGCTGGGCAGTGTCACCATTAGAGCTGGGCCACCAGGGTACCTGCTATGGGCTCCATCTTTTTCTTACCCACCAGGTCAGGAGTTGTAGGCCTAGAGGGATGTACACACCCTCAGCCCACACCCCCTCTTCTGGAACTATAATTCCCTGTCCAGGTAACTCTGGGCCCCCTTTCTATTTTGGGTCTTCTTCTTGAGGCTGATCCCTGACCTATAAAAGGTTTCCATAGGTGGCTATTTGGGAAAGAGATGGGGTGGCCAGAGACTAGACTTGCAAGCTGGGTGTCTACTGTCTACCGGGACCCTTGTGTGGGGCAGGATCCAGGAATGAAGAGAGAAGAGAGATAGAGAGAGGATGGGGGCAGGAAACTCCGAGCCATTTCTCTGTGTGTAGCCATGTACTACATATTAGAGTAGACATCCAAGGAGCATGTGCGTTTGTCAAGATAGGGAAATAAAGCATATTTTATTTAACAGTTTATTAGCTTGATTTATAATTTTAAAATATTTAGATGTATTTGTAGATATCAGGGCCTTCCTTCGTACTCCTGTCCCAGGTCCTGCAAATGTTGGGGTAGGCCTGGTCCCCCAGGCTCAGTGCATGAGGCACAAAGCTACAGACCACATCTCCTAGAGCCCTATGTGGAGTTCCATAACAAAGCAAGGCAGTATCATGGTGTGGGCTTCCAAACCTTTTTTGCCTTAACTCATGACAATTATACATAATAACGTGTAATACATGTGCTTGATGTCATCCCCCAATACACACACACACAAACACAAACACAACCCTAAAATTTATTATGGGGATGAGTTTTGGTGCCCTTGAAGAATATGCACACAGGTTTTGGAAGAGAAATGTAAAGGTTATTTCTGGCTATTGTAAGTTTGGAATATATCTTAGATATTTAAATGGAGAGGTAAGAGAGGCAAGTCTGGAGCTCAGAGGTTAGATAAGACCAGAGATCACATTTTTTTTTTTTTGAGA